CATGTGAAAACTTACAATATGACCAAATCGGGTGTACTCAAACTCCCTAGAGAGCACTCATATACTACACGTTTTGGTATATACCCTCTGTAGCCATAAGCCTGAGGGTATGAAAAATTGTATATGTTATTAACCCAAAGAATCATTTCAATAGTAATTGTGATTATGACTTTCAAAACACACCGTTATGGGGAAAATTTAAAGCCCGTTATGGGGACCATCTGAAAACCCGGATATACATCAAACGATTTTTGGGGAGATGTGTTCTACACATATAAAAACGCGAATTGTATCCTCTTCGACTTGAAATTGTGGTCAGGACGTACATTTAAAATTGTAATATTCTTCATTGACACTGTATGCAGTTTTTGTAAAGATTTGAACCGATATTGAACATTTTTTACCTAAAACCTAAAATGTTAAAAGAACCAACAACTGTTGAAAACTATTCCATAATAAACAAAAAAGCAGTTCCATTTGGAATGAATTAGAAAATATTCAAAAAAATAAAATCCATTGAAAATTCTGTTAAAATCTTTAAAATACCTAATATCGGAAGGTGCCGATATATGGGGGGATATACGCTATTGTGGACCTATATAGACAAATCTATGTCTGGGGGTAAAGTACTCACAAGGAACTTCTTGTGTGGATTTTCAGATAATTCCATTGGGAAATGTGGCTAAAATCATCAAAATCCCGAATATCAGAGGGTACCGTTATATGGGGAATATACGATATCGTGGACCTATACAGACAACTCTCTTTCAGGGAGTAAAGTACTCACAAAGAACTCCTTGTGTGGATTATCAGACAATTCCGTTGAAAAATGTGGGTAAAATCATCAAAATACCGAATATAGGGGAGTACTGTTATATGGGGGATATACGATATTGTGGACCTATACAGACAATTCCGTTTCAGGGGTAAAGTGCTCACAAAGAACCCCTTGTGTACAAAGAATCCCTTGTGACCATTCCGTTGAAAAATATGGCTAAAACATCAAAATACCGAATATCGGGGGTACCGGTATATAAGGGCTATACGATATCGTGGACCTATATAGATAATTCTCTGCCGAAGTATAAAGTACCCACAAGGAACTCCTTGTGTGTATTTTCAGACAATTCCGTTGAAAAATGTGGGTAAAATCATCAAAATACCGAATATCGGGGGGTACCGTTATATGGGGGATATACGATATCGTGGACCTGTATAGACAATTCTCTCTCAGGGGGTAAAGTACTCACAAGAAACTAATTGTGTGGATTTTCAGACAATTCCATTGAAAAATGTGGGTAAAATCATCAAAATACCGAATATCGGGGGGTACCGTTATATGGGGGCTATACGATATTGTGGACCTATGTAGATAATTCTCTGCCGAGGAATAAAGTACCCACAAGGAACTACTTGTGTGGATTTTCAGACAATTCCATTGAAAAATGTGGTTAACATCATCAAAATACCGAATATCGGGGGTACCGTTATATGGGGGCTATACGATATCCTGGACCGATATAGCCCATCTTCGAACTTGACCTGCCTGCAGACAAAAGAGAGATCTGTGCAAAATTTTAGCTTCCCATCTTAATTCGTTTAGACTGTAGCGTGATTACAACAGACGGACAGACGGATAGACGGACGGACAGGGCTAAATCGTCTTAGAATTTTACGCTGATCAAGAATATATATACTTTGTTGGGTCTAAAATGATTATTTCGATGAGTTACAAACGGAATGACGAACTTAATATACCCTCCATACCTTTTTTGCTGGAGGGTATAACAAGTAAGCTAAGGCAATAGTCGAGTGCGAGGCCGACCATGTGATACCCTACAACAGTATATTATTATGGAAGCCCCCTTAGGTCCAAATTAATTTTGTCAGATTCGCGTTTGAAATATAGCCATACAGTCCTGTACAAATGTTGATACTGAAAGGTATTCATAATAATTCCACACAAAAATTGTGGCTAATTTTTTAGTTATATATATAATCTAATGACCATCCGAAATGCTAGACTTCTGTTCTGTCCTAAACTCTATCCTCAAGCAAAATTCCGTGTGGATTGGTTTTTAATTGTGACTGGAAAATCAGGAATATTAAAAAAAAAACAATAGGCGTCAATTCTGACTCTAACCCCCATGCAAAATGTACAATTAAAAATTGTATGTCTAATTGAAAAAAAATTATATGATATGTAAAAAATTATAAAAATTAAAAAGAATATTACAAACAGTATTCAGTTTTTTTATTGGCATATTTTTTTCGTGATTTCACTCTTTTCTGACAAGAGGACATTCCGAATTGGTGAGAGTTGTCAAAATTAGCCCAGCCATTGTTGACTTATAATCGTAGTAACATATTTGTATCTATTTTGCTATATATTCCATATCTTGGCTATCAGCATCAATGTATTTGTGATTCCACCGGGATGAAAAAATATTCGAGGTTTAGTGGAAATTTTCGTGATGACCATCCAAATTTGTAGGCTTCTGTTCAGCCCTAAATGGAATTTTGCAATCCCTAAATATTTTGAAATCATCTCCAAAAGCAAAAAGCTTCAATTCGGACTCCAACCCCTCAGACCATGCGACTCGTAGCGTGATATTAATATATGGGAACCGAGTTTCACCAAATGGAAAAATTCGGTTAAATGTGCAAAAATCCATCCATTTTGAGCTGGCACTGCATATTTGTAGTAACCGATTTCGATAAAATTTGCCAAAGGTATTTCTTATGGGAGCTAAAATTAAATCTGAACCGATGTTAACCAAATTTGAAAAACTTGCTCCTAGACTGAATTTGGTCGGACTTGCCAAACTGACCCCATTTAGTACAATAAACGTGAACTCGGATAAAGATATGTATGGGTGCTATACCTAAATCTGATCCGATCTCGATAAAATTTGGCAGAGGCTTTTCCGAGCTGTCTGGTACCAAATATGATTGTTTTGGAGTGCATATTGCGAATGTGCAAACTTAAACACAAAATTTGCTGAAACATATATAAGGGAGCTATAGGGCCAACAATGATTTGTGCAATATTTCATCTCGATGGGTTATCCGACCTCTACTTTGTTTACAAATATACATGGACAGACAGACGGACGAACGGACGTCGGTCATCCATTAATCAAATCAGAATTCTGATTCTATGAGGATTCTCAAATGTAACTATGGGTTTATCTCGTTTCCTTCTCCATGTTACAAACAAATGCACAAAGACATAATACCCTGACAATACCCTGGGGTAGGGTATAAATACGCAAACAATGAACTAAAATTCTTGAAAATGATTAGATGTGTTTTTGAAGTTGAGTAGGTCGTCTGGGTCAATCAGCATGTTGACTATGCAAAAGCGTGCTGAGAGCCACCTGTACAAAAATACAAAACCAATCCGTTGCCTGTATATTAATTAGCCTTGCTGGCATATTTTATAGTCTGTCTTCATGATACCTCAAAACGTACAGGTCAAAATTTCATTCCTATCTAGGTCTAGGTCATATAACAGGATGGCTTTGAAATACAGGATATTTCTGGAGAAACACAAATCTCTTATGAAACAATTTTGGGCTCCGGGTTGTAGCTAAATCGATGAAACCAATCCGCCAATAAGGCTAAGAAGAACTGGAAAAGAACGTTTGAATATTCGCTATGTTAAACAAAAGCTCTCCATTAAAAACTGTTTCATACCCCAGTGTCAATCGTAACCTCAATAGAAAAGCAACCAAGAAAAAAGTGAGTCAGAATATACTTTGTTCCCGATAGTTAAAAAAAGGTTGAGTTGGGATAATGTGTACATACAATTGAAATTGTTACTAACTCATTGGGGGACCATTCGGTCCATTGCGAACATCCTACGTGAAAAAGAAAGAGTTGAAAGGTGATAGATTTTTGTAGAGAAGTAGAAAGGATGGAGAAAAGCTTCTAATACAGGGTGAGATAAAAAACTGCAACAAAATTGTTGAATGAAAGCAAAAAATTACAGAAATAGCATAAAATTTTATAATAAGTTTAGATTTGTTCGAATTTGTCACCTTTGGCACGAATTATGGCCTTAAAACGGCTAATGAAACCGTCATACGCTGCCCGTATGTTGCCCGTCGGTATTTTGGCCCATTCGCGACGAAGCGCTTGCTTGAGGTGATCGACTCTTTGGTATTTTTTAGTGCCATCCTTGCTTTCCAAAATATTCCAGACACAATAGTCCAACAGATTAGCATGCGGAAATTTTGGTGGCCATTGTGCGCTGGAAATGAAGCGAGGAACCTCATTTTGTAACCATTCTTGGGTAGTGCGTGCTGACAGTTCACCACTTTCGGTCAAGCGAAGCAAGTCGTTAGCTCTTTTGAGTCTATTTTTTTATGTTGCGGTGTAAGTTCTTGCACTTTTTGGAGTTGCAATGGCTTTACCCCGAGCTCATTTTTCAATATTTCCGAATGGAATATTGTGATATGTTCAGCTCACGAGCCATTTTTCGGCCACTGCGACGCGGGTTTCGATCAAGTCGCTTCTTTACTTTTAGAACCATTTCTACTGATCATTCTGTCCACTTCCTTGACGTTGGGCTACGCCACAATTATCACGGTAACGAGAGATGGTACAAGACATAAAAGATATATTCACATTTAAATTCTGGCGTGATCTAACGATAGCCACTTTTGGTTTTCCAGCCAAATATAAAGAAATCACATTATCACGCTTGAATTCCATCACTATTAAATTTTTCTGAAAAATTCTCACCAAAATGCTTTTGTACGTGGCTTAGAAATGGCAGCAGTCTGAAGTTAGTTGCAGTTTTTTCATTTCACCCAGTAGATATAAAGCCATTTTGCGAAGTTATAGATGACAAATTTATCCGTGTTTGAATGTACACTGAGATCATGAATCGAATGTTCTCCCACAGCTCGTAGTCTTACCCTTGTGAATTTGTTGTGAATGTTGTAATTTATATCACATACCTTCTTCATCCATCTATAGATAAAAAACCGAAATTATACTTTTCAACTATTTTTTATTTTATTTGATAACATTTCTCTTTTCTTATATTTTGTTTTTAATAATAACTTACAATATGTAGTATATTTTTATGTGTGTGTGTTTTTTATGTTTTGTCTCTTTGTAATGGTATAATAATAGTATGTATGTAGTATAGTATGTAATAATAATGTAATATGATTTAACGTACAATATTTTGTATTTGTTGTTTTTTATAATATACAATATTCATAGTTATTTTTTTCTTGTTGTGGATTTTAGAATAACGTTGTTGTTCTTGTTATTATTCATTTTATATTTATATTATAAGTATATGATTATGTCTTTATATATATTTATATATGGATAATATTTAGGGTTGCTGTTTATTTCATACTTAAAATAATATTTAACGTTTTGTTTATGTTAAAAATAATTAAAGATTAAAAACAAAGTTTTACACAAATTATTAAATAATTATTATTTTTTTGAAATAAGGCAAAATGGGTGTGTTTTTTGTTTGTTTTTTTTTTTTTCTTCTAAAAAAACAAAAATAAAATAAGGCAAACAAAATAAAATAAAAGGGAATCATAGCTCCTTCTATGTGTACAATATATGTATGACTATTATTTTATGGTGGCTTGTTTTTGTGTATTTTTTGTATACTAAATGTAAATAAAATAATATACATAAATTATGTGTTTATATAGCACCTTTGTGTTCAAAGAAAATATTTGTCGGGAAATAATATTTATTTTCAAAATCATATTCAACAACAATATTTTATGCTATATAAAACGTTTTTTAGCTTACATACACGGTGTCCTGATGTGAAGGGGAATATCAATACACGTATCATTTTTAATTCAGTGAGCAGCATATTAAGGATGCTTTCATTTTTAAAACATACATTTTCGGACACCCGGTATATATGAAATTAAATTAAACTGATTGTTTGTGAATATAAATATATATGTATATAATGATAATATTTGTTGATACTATAAATATATGTATGTAGTTTTGTACATATTCAAGGAATTTTAAAACTAAAAAAATATTTTATTTAATCGTTGTTTTTTTGCATTTTATTATGTAATTGCCATGGGTTTTCTATTCTACAAGAACCCTTAATGGTTTTAGTTTAGGGGAATTTTAATTTTCTTTCCATTTGCGTTTGATTTTCAGATTTTATTTGGGCATAAATGACTGAATATTATTTTTGTTTTATTTTGTATTGGATTTCATGTGATCTTAAATGGTTTCTTATTGGGAAAGAGGGTAATAATTGACTTATAAAATATATATTATATTGTTTATGGTTCTTATTAGGGATATTTGAATTTGAAATACTTGATTTTTTTAAATCGAGGTTTACATATTTTTCATGATTTTGAGAGTACTTTTTTATTTGAATAGGTACATGGAAATTGCTGTGTATATTTTTTAAATTTTAATGGAACAGAATTTTTAAATAATCTATGAAAATAGTTTATTTAAAAACACCGTTTATGTTATTTTTATTTATTTATTTATTAATTTATTTTTTATTTCAGTTCTTTGAACTGTGTGCTATTCATATATTTTTCACTTTTGAAGTTTAAATTTAGTACTTGGGAACATGTATAAACTATATTGCCCCATTATAGTGAAATGGTTTTAATTTGCAGTAGTTGTTAAAAGAATTTTGTTAGGAGTTCGTAAGATAAATATTAATATATATTTTATTTAATTATATATTTTAATTTTATATAAAAAAGTATTTTTTCATAATCATTTAAAATGCTTTTACGGTAGTGTCAAATTAATAAAAACAATTTTTGTATTCCCTTTTTATGAATTCAGAATGACAGCGAAAATGAATGAATAAATGGAATTAAGTTCTGATTTTTCAATATTTTTATATTAAAATTAAGAACAGGTTGTGGAATATAGAGGTGTTCTTTTGGGAGCCATATTTTAAAAAATCCATTTCGTTATCGACGTCTTTGAAATCTTACAAACATACATTCTACCAATGATTTCTAACATTCTTAAAAAGTCACTTTTTCAAGAAAATTCAGCTAAACAAAATTGGAATTGTCAATGATTTGTTTCAACGATGTTACCTCTACTGAGAAAATATTTCCAAAGAGACCGCTAGAAAAATGTTTAATCTTTTTTATATTGTTCATTTCCCTTTCTTGTTGCTTTATACAGGGTGAGATGAAAAACAGCAACCAAATTCAGACTGCTGTCATTTCTAAGTCACTTGTCCGACAGCTGTTAAAATTATTCTAGTGACAGCTCATTGTATTGTTTACAAGCGTACAAAAGCATTTTGGTGAGAATTTTCCAGAAAAGTTTTTCGTGATGAAATCACACTATCACGTGATTTCTTTATATTTTGGCTGGAAAACCATAAGTGCCTATCATTAGAGCACCATCGCTCGTTACCGTGATACTGGTAGCGTAGCCCGACGGCAAAGAAGTGGATGGAAGAAAACAACAACATCAGCAGATATGGTTCGAAAAGTGAAGAAGCGACTTGATCGAAACCCGCGTCGCAGTGGTCGAAAAATGGCTCGTGAGCTGAACATATGGGCTCGGGGTAAAGCAATTGAAATTCCAAAAAGGTGCAAGAACTTTCACCGCAACAGAAAGAAAATAGAATCAAAAGAGCTAAAGAGTTGCTTCGCTTGGCCGAAAGTGGTGAAGTGCCGAATTTGATTTTCTTCGATGAGAAAACATTCGTTGTCCAGCAGTTTGTAAACAAACAAAATGACCAAACATATTGGAGGCAGACCTTGGAAATTCCAACAGGACTCAGCACGCGCCACCCGAGAACGGTTACAGAATGAGATTCCTCGTTTCGTTTCCATCGCACAATGGTCACTAAAATCTCCGGATACCAATCCGTTTCTTTTGCTTTTTGCTTTCATTCAAACGATTAAAAAAAAATTAAAAATTATGGCGTTTGACTTTGTTGCAGTTTTTTTATCTCACCCTGTAGTTTTGCGTAAAGTCTACAACAACACTATAAAATTAGAAGTATTGTATTAATTGAGACCATACTGACCAAATCAACTTTAATGGAAACGACCTAGATGATCCATTAAAAACCCAGTGTATCCGAAGACTCTGAGTTGAGCGACTGCTGTTTTTCATTTTTTAAGTTGCGTTTGGAAAATGTTGGTAGTATATATTGTGAATCTATGGCGATTTTAACAAAGAGTCGGACGGATCCAGAAGGTTTGAATCAATTATTCTCTTTATTGAAATATTTTTATTATAGTTAGGTAACGTACTTCCAAAGCTTCCGAGACAAAGCGTGATATATCCAACGCTTTTGTCTGCAATCTAGCATTTTCCCCGTTAATGTAAAAACATAATTATGTCATTAGGGCTTAAGAAAAATATCCACCTTTAAACAAATTATTAAAATAACTCCCGGAAAGTATAAGTAAATAAATTTTCGGACTAATTTTGTTTGCCTAATTGCTACTAAAGAATACGTTATTTTAATTTCTTTCCAATATATATTTGTTGTATCTAAAACTTTTTACTTTATGTTAGGATATCTCAAATAGGATTGTTTAGTCGTTCGTTTCAATACGTTTTGTTTTTTCATTACTGTTCAAAGTTTTTCTTCTTTTTTTTTTCTTTCAAAAAGAATCAACAACAATTACATTTTTTGTAAATGTAGGTTCGTTTATATATATGTATATGATAAATGTATGCTGTATGTAATTGCATAAATTCAAATATTCATATAGTTTATGTATGTATGTTGTTAGTTATATTTTATGGGTTTTCACTGTTTTTGGTATTCTTTAAGAATTTGTTAATAAATATGTTTTTAAATGTTTTATGTTACTTATTTCGCTAATGAATTTTTATGAATATAATGATATGTTGAAATTTTTGTTTTGCAAATGTTTTGTTTGGTTGTTATTTTTGAAAGTGTCTCATCATATGCATTTTTGTTATAATTTATTTTTTTATAAGTTTCTCATATGACAATTTTTTTGGTTGCTACAGTTTTGTGTATTTCTTTTTTAATAAAGATGTAGCAATTTTACAAAGTATTTTTAACTTCAATTTGTTTTAGTCTTTTTTTGGGAAATAACAATTCTCAAAAGCAATCATTGGTTGACCATTTTCATACACAGAAATTAATGCTAATTCTCTTAGTCTTTGATTTTTAGGTTTGTTTTCTTCATTTTCATTTAAAATAATATTATCAGTCAATTAAGCTTCATTTTACATGTTTTATTTTTTTTTCTTCTTAGGTTTCATTGATTGTAAGTTGTGTGTGTGTGGAAATATGTATGTTGCGCTATTTTTTTGTTTCAGGAAGTCTCAATTAAGTTTTGGAAAGAAATATTCAATGCTTTTAGTGTTAGAAACATGTGTGGATATACTTTATATTGTTGGGATGGAACGAAATCGGAACTCAAAATCCGGAGATTTGTGCTCAGTTTAAATGCAATTTCAGGAAATTTAATTATAAGGATCGCACTGGTTTCCTTTCACTTTGAAAACATTTCTAAAGATTATAATTACCGGTGAGTTGTAATGAACGCCAGAGAATGTGGCTAGATATGTACACATACATTCATTAGCTCACATAACTTTTATTGTGAAAAATAACAAATAAGTTGAACAGATAAACCAGCAAGGAAAAGTCAAAAGTCGGCCGGGGCCGACTATATGATAATCTGCACCATTATGCATATTAACTAGAGCTCCCGTAACAAAATAATTTAGTTCAAGTAGATCATACCACCTATCAACATTTGGCTTTAGAGCAGTTATAGTTTGCATGATATCTCTTGGAGAAGGATTATATTAAAAAATATATATCGGAGCCGAGTTGTACAAAATGGAAACGTACGCCCCGAAATGCACTCCATCAGGGCTGCTATTAGCCATTCTTTGCACAATAAACCTGAAATCGGATTAAGGATATATATGGGAGCTATAAAGATCTCGATAAAATTTGGCACAGACCGTATTTTATAAGATATCTAGTACCAAACATGGTACTATGATATCAAGGTCGGGCTATGATACCATATGATTTCAATTTTTTTATTTTCTTGGCTTGATATGTCATATTTATTTGTTTATGTATGTGTTTTTTTTTTTCAATAACAAAAAAATTGTTCAGAAAACATTCAAATTCGGATGTTTTCAAAATGTTTATTTCATCGTATGCATCGACAAAATCTAGAGTTTTTGTAGCGAAATAATCCTTTAGAGATATATAGAACCTGGTTTTGAAAAGAAGTGTTGACCTTTCATTCAGTTTTCGCGGTTTTCAATTATTTATTCAAAATAAATGCAACAAGTTGTTTGATTTTTTTATTATTTTGATACTAATTCCGACATTACAAGCCAAACAGGTAGACCTCTATACTTGCAATTTTTTCAAAGTTGGCCTACCTTCTCTTCATTGTACCATGGTACCAAATATCATTGTTGTCGAATGCATATAACGAATGTGTGGGACTTAAACACCAAATCGGATGAGACATATATATGGGAGCTATAGCTATACCTGAACCAATCCAAATTTAATGTACTTGCTTCTAGACTGAATTCAATGGGATGTACCAAAATATAGGCCATTTGGACTTATATTAGCCATTTGGTGGACAATTATCCCCAAGTCGATTGAAGATATATGGGAGCTATAGCTAAATCTGATCCGATTATCACCAATTTTAATAGGATTCGTCTTTGGGCCAAACAAACTGCATTTTATTCACAGGAATAAATGGACGGACTGACAGCATAAATCGACTCAGAAAGTGATTCTATGAAAATCCTCATAAATAACTATAGGTCTATCTCGCTTCTTTCTCCATGTAAATGCACAAAGACATAATACCCTTACCACTATGTGCTGTAGGGTATAAAAAACGGTTAATACGAGTTAGATATGAGACACCGCCGTAGTTGCAGCTACAAAACCTTCTGCCGAAATGGCAATATTTTTAGAAAATTGTTATATTACTGCTGAAGATTCAATCAGTTGGTTGCTTAAGACTGTAGTGTTCGACCATTGGCTTAACTTCTGATTATACTCAATGTTTTCTAGCTTTGCAATATTTGCTGTTCGCTACCAACATTATGATTTCATACCGGCAAAAGGTATAAGTCACTTGGCTTTTTTTAGTTATTTGATATTGCAAAGCTATTTTTTTTTAATTGCTTATGGAAGTACGCATATTTTGCCTACCGACACCCGAGTTTAGTTGAGAGTCCACTTTCTGCTCGCTAGTAGTTTGATATACCACTCATTGAATAAATACTGAATTCACTTTAGTCTAACAATTACATTGGTCTTCATTTTTACAAATACAGCAAAGGAATAGAAGATATCTGGTCAGTAAATCGATTAATTCAGTGCCAGGACCGTACTAAATTTGAAAAAAAATAGTCCAATTGTGATACGCTAATAATACTTTTATAAAATATCTTTTATAAATTCAATGCTCTTGAAATTGCACTTTAAGAAAAGGTTTTTTGCATAACAATTCTGGTTAGAAACTGAATAGCCTTCTTGAAAAATGTTTACATTTTTTTGTGCAACATAAAAAATATCCAACATGATTTTCTAAAATTCGATTGATTTAATGTCATTTAATAGAAAATATAAATACAGCATATATATTCTTGTTTCACATTAAGTCTTAGTAAATAAATCTATTTTCCAAAATAAAGAAATTGTTATATTTTGTATATGTAGAAGTATAACGATTATGATATTCCAAGTTATATACTCGTAGCAGTTTTTTGTAGTTGTTTTCTTTTGTGTTATTTCATTACTTAAGATAAATGCATTAATTGTTTACATTTTGTAGTTTTGTTCAGAGCTTCTGTTCTGCATTGTTAAAATAAATATTTCTGGTTTTGTTTTTCTTTAAAATTGTTGCGTATTTGATACTCATGTATGTGTGTTTGTGTGACCATAAGAGCTATTTTTGTTTTCTTGCAGTGGATTGAGGCATGGAAAGGTTTAGTTGTCTTTTTTTATGAATAGAAATTATCTCGTTTCTGGTGTATAGGCAGTGGTTCGCTAGGCGATTCCGATTTACGACCATCATCATCATCTGAATTGCCACGCTGTGACATTGTATCTTGGCTATTGCCTTCGTCATCCTTTTCGCCATTGCCATTTTTTGACATCGCTTTTTCTAAAGCAAATTTGAGAGGAGAAAGGAAGAAAAATTAGAAATATGCCTTTTTTCATGATATGATTTATGGTGGTTGGCTGTGAAAGTTAAGGGGGTTAATTTCAAAAATCCATTATACCGTGTCATTTGGGTTAAGTTTAGATTTTGGCTTTTTAAAAAAAACATAGAAATAAAAATTACATTAAGTTATTACTGTGTACTTACACCTCAGATTTTTTAAGTTTGGGTTCTGTGTTTGGTTTGGTGACTGTTTAGTGGTGTTAGGTTTAGCTTTGTGTTGCTTTCAATACAGGCTAGCTGTAACCAATATACAGAGTGCATTATGTTAGTTCCTATAGGTTAGCTAAACGGTATGTTCTAAATTTGTATTTTTACCTCTCATCTAAATACTAGTTATATTGAGAAATAATTTTTCCAATTTAGTGGTAGTTATTAAATTCAAATTCAAAGTAATGAAATTGTTTTGAAGAAAATTTTGTAAGTTGGCCCGATTAATGTTTATTCTTTACAATCTTCACATTGGAAATTTTAAATCCTAGTTCTTTCAAAATATATTTTGAGTACGTATTCTGATTTTTTTTTCTAAAAAAAACTCTTTCGTTTTGCTAAGATTATTTTCAATAAATTACATTTAATTTAAAGAATTAATAGTCAAATAACAATATTGAAAATTTAACACTTTAAAAATAAACATGACTTCTATTAACCAATTTGACTTTTTTTTGGGATTTTGTATTTTTTTAATATATTATGTGATGTGTTAGGACTACATTGTGCTCGAAACCTCTTGACAAAAAACAATAGTGCTGACTAAAATTTGGTTGGATTTTGAGAGAAAGTTGCAATTTTTTAAAACCTAAAAAAAAACAAGTCAATCTGAGTCAAGAAAGGACACTGTAAAAATAAAAATAGCATATATAGGGTGACATGAAAAAACTGCAACCAACATTAGAATGCTGTCATTTCTAAGCTACTCGTCCGACAGTAGTTAAAATTAATAAATCATTATATTTTTTACAAGCGTACAAGCGCATTTTGGTGAGAATTTTACAGAAAACATGTTATTCGTGACGGAATTCAAGCGTGATAGTATGATTCCTTTATATTTGGCTGGAAAACCACAAGTGGCTATCGTTAGAGCACTCCAGCATTTAAATGTGAACAAATCTTTTGTGTCTCGTACCATCGCTCGTTACCGTGATACTGGTAACGTAGCCCGACGTCAAGGACGTGGGCGGGGGAAAACAGCAACATCAGCAGAAATGGTTCGAAAAGTAAAGAGGCGACTTGATCGCAACCCGCGTAGCGGTGGCCGAAAAATGCAAGAACTTACACCACAACAGAAAGAAAATAGACTCAAAAGAGCTAATGAGTTGCTTCGTTTGGCCGAAAGTGGTGAACTGCCGAATTTGGCCGATGGTCGCTCTCCCTCGTATTAATCGACCTTGGATCAGAATAAATGCCGAATATTATCGCGAAAATATTCTTAAGGGTTACAAAATGAGATTCCTCGCTTCATTTCCAGCGCACAATGGCCACCAAAATCTCCGTATACCAATCTGTTGGACTATTGTGTCTGGAGTATTTTGGAAAACAAAAAGTACCAAAGTCGATCACCTCAAGCAAGTGCTTCTCCGGAAATGGGCCAAAATACCGCAGAGCAACATTCGGGCAGCATGTGATGGTTTCATTGGCCGTTTGAAGGCCATAATTCGTACCAAAGGTGACCAATTCGAACAAATCTAAACTTATTTTAAAATTGGATGCTATTTCCGACAATTTTGCTCTCATTCAAAAAAGTTTAAATATTTAATTTAAATAAAATTACGTCGTTTGATTTTGTTGCAGTGTTTTATCTCACTTTGTATTATACCTGGAAAGTCTAAATCTAAGATCTTTTCAGGAAACATATTATGTCCTTTTAACTTAACTGTTACTCCCCCAAAATCAAACCAAATAAAATTTTCTAATACAATTCTAAAGTGTTGAGTTAGCAAAAATACGGGTGTTCAAACGTTTTTGAAGCAATTGTGAAAGGCTAAACAAACGTGACATTATGAGTGGTGTTAGTGAGAGGAGGTTTGAGTAGGTGTGGTGATGGTGCAGTGTGGTATAGTTTTTAGTTAAATGTTCAAATGATTAATGACATTTCTTACAACAATTTAATTAAATGCAGCAATTCGCAATAAATAAGCAGAATTTTTATAAATTTCGCAATTCGCCTTTGAACAATTGAAATGAAAGATAACAAATTTTAACAAGTAAAACTAATACCACACAAACTATACAAATACATTAATAACTTGTTTTCAATTTATGAATTTTTACATCAAAATACAAAAATCATACAGATTTAAATTCATCTGATATTATACATTTTTAAATGGGGGAAGGATAGATAGGTAGATATATAGCAATTGGGGGCTGTGATGTAATATTATCGTTTATAAATACTTTTTTCAATACAAACCTTGATTGTTTTGCGAGCTGTTTTTCAAAATTAGCATTCAGAGTTAAGAGCTTGATGTAGGGAGTTCAGTATATTGTTGTTGTTGTTATTTTGTAGAAGTTGTTGTTGTTTTTATTGGCTGACTGATTGACTGACTGATTGTACATTTTTTGTTTGTTTGTTTGAAGCGAATTTTGATAGTTGTGATTGGTAGGTAGTTGAATTTAAAAGTTTGCAAGGTTTCCGTTAGCAGTTCGTTAGTCATAGTCTTTGTTCAAAATTGTTGTTTTGTCAGTGTAAGGATTATTCTTGTCTTGTCCATTTTTTTCATTTGGGTAAGATGGCTTTGTAGACTTTTATTTTACATTATTTGTTTTTTTTTTTTCGTTTTTTAATGGTGATCATGCGATTTTATGGCGTGTCAATTCTTGTACATCATGTTGTAGGAGAAGAAGAATTAGAATGGCTTTTGTTGTTTTTAGCTGTTGTTGTAGTTGATGTTCGATTTTTCAAATGTTGTTGTAGTTGGTTTTGGAAAAAGACAAATTTGGTTCAATTGGTTCAAGAAGTAGGAAAATGAGTTAGATTTCAGATTGGTATAGATTAAGAATTGTAGATTTACAGTAGTTGGTAGTTGATGTTGTTGCTTTTTTTTTGGAAAATGCAAATGCTGTTAGTTAATGCATGGCAAAACTCAAACTCAATGTTAATGTGTTTATGTGTGTATGTTATTCATACTTTTTTTAGTTAATTAATATGAACTCTTGTAAAAATCATGGGCCAAGACTTCTTTGCGCATTTATGACTTAACGAGGCTTTTCAAAAACGTAATCAATATGAAACGCAAATAGATACAAACAAAGAAACAAAACAAACTTATAACGAATAACAACATAACATATTTTGATGTGTTGTGTACATTTTTGTTGCTGCTGTTTGTTTTTGGTATAACTAACAACTCAATGGGGTAACAGCAATTATTTGGGATTATTTTGACTATGGGGATTACCTAGAAAAATGCAAAAGAAAAAATAATAATAAATAATAAAAAAAAATGAAAAAAATATAAAAAGAACATAAAAATAAATACAAAAAAACACAAGCACTTTTTATATGACAAAAACGTAAAATCAACTAAACAGATCTGACATCTTAAAAATAATACAAAATTTAAATATGATAAAATTAATTTAATTCTTAAATACATTATTTTAAACAAGTTAGAAAATATCAGATCAATTTCGTATCGGACCTTTATAACAAGAAATGTTATAAAGATAGTAGTAGTTGATGGAAATATTGAGATGTACCAAGTCTTGAATGGAATCGAATGCAAATTTTTATGAGCTTTTTATGAGCTTCATGGATATTCAAAATTTTCAGCCTTTGTGGGGGAGGTACCACAAGGAGCAGACCGATATATTCCATATTAACACCAGACCCTGGGATGTTGGGGATGTGTGAACTTTGAAGACAATCGGACTCTTACATAACATTTTATAAGAGTTGTAATTATTCAAAATTGTGACCCTTTGTGGGGGAAGTACCTGATAGAGTGGACCAATATTGTCCATTTTCGCACCTTACCTAGCACTGACGAAGATATTAGGATTTGCAAAGTTGGAAAAAATCTGATTATCCTTTCTCTTTCTGTGCAGAAAATATAATTTTGAAAATTTCGACCTTTTGTGGGGGAGGTACCAGAAGGAGAGGGCCGATATTGCCAATCTCCGAACTCGATCTAAGTTTGACAAAAATGCGATGTACCAAGTTTGGATCAAATCGGATACTCCCTTCTAGAGTTATCGTGCGCACCAGCCAGACAGGCGGACGGACGGATATCGCTAGATAGACTCCAAATGTCCAGATTTGGTCGAAAGAGACCTAGGGTCTAAAATCGAAATTTCGACTAAGCACATTTTGGCCGTATCAAATGATATATACCCTCTCTAGCCATATAGTTGAGGGTATAAAAATGTAGCTGAAGTTTTTTTTCAAAAAGATAAAATAAAATAGAACTTGTTTAGAATAACATTCATTTGTTATTTTTAAAACTATCTATAAAGAGCGATAAAAAGGTGGTCTCCTTTTTCATATACCAAAAAATATCCGGGCTTCAATACTAAGATTGTGTACTGTTTCTGAAAAAAGCATTAGTAAAATCGAACACAATGCATCGAAATCTAATATATTTTAGTGGCTATGATTTATAGTTGTACTATCGAATATAGAAGGAAGATGAAGTAATATTTCATAAGGACTGACATAACCCTTTCAAGTGGATAGCAGTACTAAAGGCAAATTTCACAGTTGGAAAATATAGTAGAAACGGAACTGCTCATCCATGTTGTTTATGTGGTTTCCATGAAATGTATCCTTATGCTGGACTAATCCATATCATCTTTATCTTTACAATAAATACTATTGGAAATCAGTTAATTAATTCTTGTAACATGTAACATGTTTGGAGAGTAGGAAAAATATTTTTCATGACTAAGTTAATAATCTCACTTAGGCAGTAGAAAATATAGTAGAAAAAAAAATAAATAAATAAAAATAGAAAAATTAACAACACAAAGAAAATTATAAATATAAAACGAATTAAGCCATAATAATTGTAAATAACTACACAACCAAATAAATAATAAATATAACTAAACTGTATAAGACTACAGATTATATGATACAATGAATGTTTGTAGTTTCGACCAAAAGAAAACAATTTTCGTTGCATAAAGTGTTAATTTTTTATTTAAAGATAAATATAAACATTTTTTAAATTAAAATGGAAATATTTATATATTTGACGACAATGTTTCCTTTTTTATACGAATCACAAAATTGTAAGAACAGAACGTTTTCTAATTATGACACAAAATAAACAAAGAAAAAATATATTCTTTTTTTAATACTTATGATGATGGATCATTACTTTTGTTTTCAACTCTGTGGTGGAGATGATGATGATGATGTAGGAGGTGTTGTGCATAAAAATGATGAAGTTACACATGAACATTGGTTTCAACATTACGGTGCAGGGGTTTAATGCTAATGCAGGTGATGATGATGTCAACGATAACTCGTTTTTACTTTCATATTTTGGTCTTAATTCAACATTGATGATGATCAGGCGATTGATTTCAAAATGATGATGGCATGGTGATGAGTTATTGTGAGAATTTTGTACGTGACCATTATTTTCTTTGAATTAAAATATGATTCTCAAATGATTTTGTATTTTTTCATTATATTTTCTGTGGTTTCTTTAAGACGTAAGACACATTGTTTTTCTTTCTTTTGTTTTCTTAAGTGTTAACATTTCTTATTTTCTTTTGTTAATTCTTTTATATTTTTGTTCTTAAAAAAGTTAATCATCTAGAAAATTAGACACGAAAAGAAAATAAATATTTTAATTGTCTTTTAGTTGAGGTTAGAAAGATAGCAATAAATACACATAGTACATAAATAAGTAAAATGACAGTTGGGTTGGTTATTATAGTTGTAATAGTAATTCGAGGAACAGGAGGACAATAAAAAAATCTTAACAATTAATGATGAGAAGAAATGTCAACAAAACAGTGGAATAAAACGAACATGAATAAATACACCAATTTTAGGGTAAAAGGTAAATTGAAATAAAATTAGTCGAATAAACATTTACTTTGGAAAACAATAACAATCTCTTAGAGTTTAAAAAACAAAATAAATGACTCATATAGGTATTTTTTTTAATAAAAGAAACACATTGGGTCTTCGCTGTTATATGTTTTTGATTAATTTCTTTGAAAAGTGGTAACAAAAAACACAAACAAAACATAATTTGCAGTTATATCTTTTTGGATATATCGGTTAATAATAAGTAAAATGTAAATCTGAACACAAATTCAATGAAATTTGATTTTTGTTTGTAAAGTGCTTTAGTGTTGCATTTTTGCATTGCTTTTCTATAATATCTTTGCAGTGGATCATGCTACTTGCGGATGTCATCACTTTTACTTACCCGCCACTATTTTACTCATTTGCATCACTTGCTGGGCCAAAATTTGATTCATTTGTAGCAGATGTTCACGTTGTTTCTTTTCCTCATTTATTTTACTGGGTGGTAGACTAGCTGCCGTGTCCTAAAATTTTGGAAAATGTTATTATTTTTTAATTAATAATATTGACAATATAATAATAAAGTCAAATATGTTAAATAGTCGCCATAAACCAAAATAAAATGTAGTTGTATACAGAATCCAAAAAAATAAAGAAAATGTACTCGTTGTTTTAAATTACATTCTCTTTGAGGCCGATATTCGATTGGATTTTCGAATTACAACCGAACAAAAAAAAAAGTAAAAAAGCAACTAATACGCTCCACACATTTCGAAAGAAATTGAAAAATTAAAAAAAAAATCCGAAAACTACCATTTAAATGAAAACCGTTATATGGGGACTATATGAAGAGGTGGACCTGCATACGAAATTGTTTGTTATATGCTGTAGTGTCCTTTACGAACTTCAAATACGAAATTTGAATAATGTCGCAAAAATCAAGAAAATACGGAGTATCGGGAGGTACCGTCATATAGAGGCTATACGAATACGTGGACCTGCATACGAATTAAGTAAGATGTAGTACCCATTAAGAGCTTTCAATACGAAATTTGAAACGATTCCGGTGAATAATGTAGCTGAAATCGTCAAAATACCGACTACCGGGAGGTACCGTTATATGGGGGCAGTACGAAGACGTGGACCGGCATATAAAAATTGTTGTCGTAGCCTGTATTACCTATTATGAACTTCAAATACGAAATTTGAGAAAAATCCGGTAAATAATGTAGCTAAAATCATGAAAATACAGAATATTGGGAGGTACCGTTATATGGGAGCTATACGAAAACGTGGACCGACGTGGCCCATTTACGAACTTAACCCGCCTACTGGTAAACTATGCATGTATGCAAAATTTTAGCCTTCTATCACGATTCGTTCGAAAGATAGCGTAATTACAACAGACAGACGGACATCACTAGATCGTCTTAGAATTCTGCACTGATCCAGAATATATATATTTGTAGGGTCTATTATGAATATTTCGAGGAGTTACAAACGGCATGACAAAGTTAATATACCCTCCATAGAATGGTGGAGGGTATAAAAAACTTGAACAATGCTCAAAGCCTTCGTATTTAGAATTCTAAAGTTCATACAGACAGATTGGGTCTGAAGGTTTCCAACATCATTAAGAAAACAAATACTTAAAAGCTAAAGGGCTTATGTAGCACACAGATGAATACTTATGCATCAGACCATGCATCATTTGAAATAAATGCATACCAAGAGTTGCAGAAATTGCTTAGCTAAAAACAAAATTCAAAACTGAAAAATTTATGAAGTTGTTTATATTCTCTGCTTTTTGTTTTGCCAGTTGCTAAATAATTAAATGTATGTAAACATTTCTTTACTGCCTCCGCTGCTAAAATGAAACTCTATACTTCAATGTTTTTATAACACAGAGTATTCAAAAATGTAATCAATGCATATGTCCTGCATTTCATTTTGTTCAAAGTCTATTTTGAATATTATGAAAATTAATATTACTAACCTATCCTATAGATCAATTTAATGCTTGAACGTACGTTCTTTAAAGTATAAGAGAATTTCTATAGCTTCCCATGGATAAAATATACATAATTTAAGCCACACATACAACTTAGTTAGAGAATGTATACCATTATTTTACAACTTAACTCCACAATTAATTACTTACATTTGCAGCTATTGGAGCTTCCGATAGCATCTTCTTAATCGATTCCACTTTTTCTTGTCTACGTTTCTTCTCTTCGGGTGATAATTCAGGCGTCTAGTCAATTTGTTTTTTTGATAAGAAATTTTGATAGAATTTAGTTCAAATTGTTCATTTTGAAAGTTTTAGTTTTCAAATTACCGTTTCAGGAATATAACGTTCTGGTATAACAATCTTATTGGGAGCCAATAATAAATTATCAATTGTATTTTCCGATATTTTTTCGCCATGTCGCAGTGCTGATCGTACAACATCGGGAGCATTGATGCGGGGACGTAATGCCACTTCCATATCTAAATCGTCACGGGCACGCCAATTTGTATTCTAATAATAAAAAACAGATCATATTAGAAATTTCAAAAGGTAAATGACAATCTAATTCCAATCAAATGCTTACATTTTTATTCATATCATTCTCCGAATGACCATTTTCGGCCGATTTAACATTCACCACATTATTAGGAGCTGTGTAGTGTCTTCGCTTCTCCTTGGGAACGGCTCGACGATGTTTGTGTTGTGATGGCACCTTTTCAACAATTTTCTCTGTATCCTCCGATGCTGAGCCTGCAGACATTTCATTCATTATTTGTCTAGCCACTTCACTTTGGAACGATGGCGTTAAATCGCTAAGACTTTTGTTGAGGCTTTGCTGAGAATCGGTTTTCTGACGCAAAGCACTCTGAGATGAATGACGTGAATGGGAAGAAGTGCTAGTGGTGCTATAATGATGATTAGAAGAAGAAGAGGAAGAAGATGTGGCGATAGTGGTAGTTGTTGTGGAATGACCCCCCTGTTGCATTTGTTTGGCGAAATAGGCATTAGCTAGAGGATTTAAATGTTCGCGAGCAGAAGCTGAACCATGACCATTATTCGAAGCTGCAGCATGATTTTGATGGGAATAGTTACTATTCTTATCATAACCATTAGATACGGATACAGCCGCGGCGGCATGACCATTATGACCGCCATAGTAGTCATTCTTATAGGTCGAATGATAGGCCGCTGAAGAAGAAGAAGATGCATTATTGGCAGAGGATGACGATGAAGATGCAGTATTATGATGACTATTGGTACTGCCATGCTTATGACGATGATGATGTCTGGATGATTTGGGTGGTTCGCTGTATGTACGTGGCAATGATTTGGATCTTTCATTTGGTTTATACTCTTCACTGTGATAGTTACCACCAGCAGCTGCCAGGCTACCGTTCATTAGGCCATACTGTTCTTCTTCCATGACTTGATCGAGATTTTGTGTCGAATTACTAAGACCCGAACGTTCACTACGATCACGATGTCTACGTTCCGATTCGCGTTTAACAATACGTACGGTTTTTATTTCTTGCTTTTCTTGCTGTGACAGATTGGCAAAGGGATTCGATTCCAAGAAGCCATCACTGTCCACACCACTAGTTTCTAGATTATCACTAGAATCATTGTAACGATACGAGGCGGCAGATGAGCCTCCGCGACGATGTGACTCATTTTGCATACTATCACCGGTATTGTAATCACTCAATTTGCTAGATGTCGAGGAACTATTTAATAAATGGCCGCTGGTATTGTTTGTGTCGACAAATAATGGTGTCGACAGATTCATGCTCGAATCGCTAAGACCACGATTGACACTTGTCATGGAATCCAAATCAGTTTCGAACCAGCAACCTGAATTGGTACGCTTTTTTATACTACCTCCACCAGAGCTGCTGCCATTTCCTCCGGAACTGCTGCTACCGCTGTTCGGTTCTGCATTTCTCAGGTAATCTTTATTGCCGATCTCCTGATATAACTTAGTGGAGTTTTCGGTTAGTTGCTTTACAGCCTGACTCAATTCCTGACGTTGTCGTTGCATATCACCGACTAGATTCTGTACGCGTTTCAATTCGGACTCCAACATGGCTGTTGTATTGCTGGCATAGGTATCGGATATTTTCACTTGGCTGCCACGGGTTAGTTTTTGCCTTAGAATTAATAGTTCCTGTTCGAGGCGTGTATTACCAGCTACGGTCATTTCAAGTTTCTGTATTAATGGAGGGGAAAATATTAAAATGCACAAGATTAGAAACGAATAGCTCGAGATTGCTTAAAGACAAGAACATGCTATATAGATATGATCGATGTTAGCATGATTTCCATGATAGTAAAGTCAATGATGACAAGTAGTTAGAATGTCGTCCATTTGTTTCTTTTGAGTTTACAGAAAAAACAAAATGCTTTCAATTGTCTGTCCTTCGGCGTTTGAGAGTATATAAGAAATGAAAACTGTCGCATATAGATTACTGAAAAAATATCTCCTTCAAATTGGCTGAAATAGACTCAATTTGGCAAATTATGGACATGTAATGACCCTTTGATTGCCTAGAGAAATTAGACTTTGTTATTTCTATATATGCCTATATTCTGATTTCGGTACTAATTGTAGGGGGATTAGCTGGCAAAGCAGAAATATCAAACCTTAAAGAATGAATGACTTCTTAGAAAGTAAACAGTTGAACAGATAAAATATCGGATAATTGATGTCAATTGACTTAATGAGAATATACATTTTGTTTGGGTGTTCCGGAATGGTCAACTGGTTATGGTTCCTATCACTATTTTTTTGCGCTGCATCTACAAAATCCCTGAAACACTGAGCATTGAATTTGGTCAAAAATATTATGAGAAATAAATAATTGTTTGTAAATTCCTTTGAGATGTTGATGGAATAGACGATTGGAAAATTTTAATAAGTCTCGACATTAGAGAGTGATTTGTAAGATACGAAACAATTAAATATGAGGTCAAGAATAGTAAGTGAAGAAGAAGAAGAGGAAATATAGTAATGAAGAGATATTTTTGCTATCCAGTGCTGTTTGATGGAGAGCATATATGTTAGATCTCGTTTGTAGGATCCATTTATGTATTTTGTTAAGATCTAGAATTATGAAGGTATGTATAGAAAGTATTTTTTATGGCAAACTGTTTTGTAAGATAATTCTGGAATATAATTTAAGTTAGTTCCATACTCGACTTTATATAGGCAATTAATATAATTGTTTTTTAGTTACAATAAAAGCGGCAGATAACATTCAATGTAAAGCATTTTTTGGCACATGCGCCCAATTCAAATCTAATTAGAGGCTCATAAAAAGCACAATTATGAGACGTATATATGTATGTAAATAAGTATGTGTGAGCATTTGTATGTTACGGGTTTTTGACAAACAGAAAAAAATAGACGACAAACTTCTACTAGGCACCTCAGCTACCTTAGAATTCTCGGCCAGCAACTGATGGACTCGTGATAATTCACGTTCCAATAAATGTTGTTGCTTTTTGGCCGCCTCCAATGCCATGGGTGTTTCGCGGGTATCTTGAATGCGTGCCTTGATTCCACCCAGAGCCCTCTCCAAGTCTTCTTTGTCACGCTGTAAACTCTGCAGAGTGCCCGATTCTTCTTGCAGTAATTGATCTAAATGATAAAGTTGAGCAACTTTCGACTGAAAGACATAGACAAAGAAATGTAGAATTATTTCAAAATTATTAGAAATGTAATTTGAAGTGTACCTGTAATTCATTATTATCCGGTTCCAAACGATCCCATTGTTGTTGTTCCTCCTGCAGCAAACGTTTCTCTTGTATTCTCTGATTGAATTCCAAACGTTCCAATGACACTGGATCGGTTCGTGGTGTTATTGCTGTTGTTGATGTTCTACCCAAAGCATCGTTGCGATATAGAGAACCCAATTTAACCATATTGTCGACTAGGTTTACCAGTGGTTTACTCTTTTCATATTGTCTTTCCAAGTCAAGCAAATGTTGTTTCAAATAATCCAGACGCTGTATGCTTTCAGCTCGTGTTAAGCCTTCAGCAGTTAGCAAACGGTTCTGTTTTTGTAAATGTTAATGGGGAGGAAAATAGTAGATTTGTTGAGTTTAATGGATGGGAAATAGTTTTCAAATTCAGAAATCCAAGTGAAAAAAAATAATAAAATAAAATGAAGAAAATTAAATAAAAAAAATAATTTAAATTAGGTAAAAAAATAAAAAAAAAAAATTGATGGCTGTTAGAAATAAAATTCTTCTAGAATATATTGTAGAAATATAATAATTTATATTTAAAACTAAGCACGAAGATAAAATTCATATAACAATTAATCATTAATTAAACATTTAGACTTTTTGTTTTAAATTTGTTGTTTTAAAACTATTCGAATTGTGCAACCAACACCATAGCTCTTTGTTAAACCCATCACCACCATTTTTTGGAACAAAACAATAAAACATATTTATATAGTGACCTGAACATCGTGAATATCAGAACAACACTGCTCAATGGCTCGAGCTGTATTGCTGTTTTGACGTCTCAACTGTATGAGCAATAAAACCAATTCTTCATGGGTTCGACTCAATAAATCGCCAGCAGAAACATCCAAGTTCTGCACAAACATAAATAAAAAAATCACAAATAAAACAAATTAAAAAATAATAGAAATTAATAAAAAAAAGTGATGACTTCATTCTATATTTGGTATACCATTTATCGCTTTCAAAAATATCAACTCACCCTTATTTGTGAACTTGTTTCACGCTCTAAAATATCAATTTCAGCACGACTGCCATAGCGTCGCATCGGATATGCAGCCGAGGCCATTTGTTGCTGCAACTGTTGCTGTTGGTACATGCGATGTAATTGTTGCTGGTACTGATTATGCATGTCATAAATATTATGTCCCGCCGTTGTATCGAGATTACCCAAATAATCAAGGCCTAAACCAATGTTACTATTGCTAGCATGCAGTGGGGTTGAGGTCAGATAACCACCGCCGACGCCGCCGCCACCACCACCAATGCCATAGCTGCTACCACTTAAAGTACCACCTAGACCGCCCAGGCTACGATCATTTAACATTGTCGTCTTGGCATATTTCATGTCCTGCGAGGTGCCATAGTAGGAATTTTCCAATTGCTGCATTTGTTCATAATCGTAGAGGTCCATTTGGCGATGCAACAGGGTATCCGATGGATCTGGTTTTACCGTTAGATTTCCAATGGGTAAGTTTTTGACATTGCGCACCGATATGGATGCTAAATTGAAGATGGGGAGAGAAAATTAAAAAAAATTAAAATTAGATTGAATCATTAGAAGCATAATAATTTGAATAAATATTTTTAAAGGGAGGTAATTTTGAAGGAAAATAGAATCATTTGGGGTGGGTAAATAATTTAATTTTTTTTAGAAAAATTTGAAAAAAACAAGAATTTAGTGGTGAATTATTAGGTCAAGGTATAGAAAAAAACGAAAACATTTTTACACTATAAACACTCTATACACTTCTTGTCCAATATTTAAATATTGTTCGCAAAAAATTTTCCTTTTCTTTTCAATTAAAAAAAAATTCTACAAAAATTAATTTTTAAAACCCAATTTTTCGAGTTAAGAGCCTATTAATGTTATGAGAATAAAACTTACAACCAAAAATTAAAAACGAGTACTATTTGGAACTGGCAGCTGAATAAGTTAAATAATGTGGACATATACTAGAAATCGAGGAGTATGGAATTTACATATTTTGAATATTTTTTCGAAATTATCAAATTGGACTGGTCATTGTTTTTTACCACAAGCTAAGCTAATTGGCGTAATGGTCCTATGACACTTGATGTAAAATAAAATTAAATGCAACAATCCTGCCTACTAACCAACAAAGACAATTTATTTCTCTGGAATCTTACAAAAATAAATTTTTTACAAAAACAAAAAAAATAAATAATCTTTAGGATCACTCCGCGCCCAAAAAATTAAAATATTTTGACCTCATTTTTGGATACCTAAATTTAATTTGTTCAGAAAATTCGAAATCAAAATCACCGTTCCCTCGTGAAACAAAAATAAAAAAATCAATGTATGGATAAAATAAAAATCGTATTTAAAGGTTAGTGATATCTGAAGGAAATCAACATGTGGATACTTCTAAGTAACCTAGAGCTGAAGCGAACATTTTACATCGGTTCGAATTACAATCGGACAATATTTAGGGTATCTAACGACTTTAAATCGGTGTTAAATACAATTGGGGTATTTTTATATTATGACATATATCTTTATTAAGACTGATTCATTGCCTCAACAACGAATTCGGTTAAATCAATAGTCTTGAAATTTGGCAGAAGAAAAACAGGGATTCTGATAAAAAATTTTATCTAAAAAAATTCGACTTTTTTGAATTATGGCAAAATATCAAAGCAGCTAAAGGTGAGGCAGGCTTGTTTGTGTTCTGAACTTCTGGTGTCAGGGCCACTTCTCTTGTGAATAGCAAAAAAAAAAAAAATACGAAAACACAATACTATAACATATATATCTATACTTTCAAGGTAGCATCTTAAAATTTCGTAAGTATATCCACATTGTTGAGAGACATGACACACAATGAAGTTGTGGGAAATCCGTACTAAGATATTGTACTGTTAGATTGAAATATCTTAAGTCTCAGATTTGTCTGACGAATTTGCAATTACCACGAAACTCGTTTTAAAAAACCGCACTTTTTTAGATTAAACACGAACTATAACTTGAGAAGTTGTTAAGATTTTTCATTTTTTTTTTTTTTTTCATTAATCTAAATCCAAATGAAAAATCTTAACAACTTCTCAGGTTATAGTTCGTGTTTAATCTAAAAAAGTGCGAAGACAATTATAGTTAAGTAATTAAGTTTCGTTTGAAGGCAATTATTGGGTCGAATCATAAGATGAGGTGTAGTCAATTACCTGTCAGAAAGGTAGTACTTAGTACAACTTTGATTCTGTTGGAAAATGTAGCTAAAATAATCAAAATGCCAAATATTGGGAGGTACAGTTCTATGGTGACCTATACGAAGGTGTGGATCTGCACAGGAAAGTTTCTGTCATAGGAAGCAGTGCCAAATATCAAATTTGAATCAACTTCGGTGAAAACTGTGACGCAAATCATTAAAATACCGAAAATCTGTGGGATATGGGGTCCATAAGAAAACTTGGACACATAGAAAATATTTAGTCTTTCGGTATAGTTATATGGGGTCTATACCAACATGTAGACCTATATGGTCCATTTTCGACACCTCTACTTTATTTTGTTCGGAAGCTAGAGTGATTTCCACATTTGGACTGATAGATGGGCACACATCGCTTAATATAATAAATTTAGTGCTGATCAAGAATATATATACCTTGTGGGGTCTACAACTTATATTTCGAGGTGTAAGACTATAGGGGAGGGCGTGAAAACTAGAATTCCGAATTTTGATACTAGAAAGCAAGTGAAAAACAAACGAAAACATCAGAAAAATAAAGACCGAATTTGTATGTTTATGATAGGGAATATACATATACTTTTTTGGGACATCAAATTTTTTTGGGCAGATATTAACATTCCAATATTTTTTGGAAAATTTTCAATTTTTTTTTTTGTAAATTTGAATTCGAACGATTCGAGTTAAATAACAAATAAGATAAACTTTTTTAAAAACACTAAATTGACAAATTCAGAATTTAAAAAAAAAACACTTCCATTTTATAAAAATAACCGATTGTTCTTTAAAATGTTTTATATACCCTACAACACTGTGTGTTGGGCCAAAAATTGTGTAACACCTCGAAATTTGGGTTTCCCACATAGTACATATGAATCTTCCTATCTCCCCGAGCTGAGTCGATCTAGCTATGTATGTCCGTCCATCCATCTGTCCGTCTGTCCATGTTAATTTGTAATCACTCTACAGGTCGCAATTATGATCCGAGAATAGAACCCTATTGTTTTTGGAGATGATCGCATGATATTAAGTGGAAATGCACCAAAACTGAAAAAATTCCTGATTTTGCAGTTGCTCTACGGGTCACGATTATAGACCAATCGACGCGGAAGTCAGCTAGAGCTTTCCAATTTGGGTGGTCATCGGGTAATATTTAGTGGGTGAATTTAGGCCATAACTAAAAGTCAAATTTTTCACTAAATCGCGAATATTTTTAATCCTGGCAAAATCACAAGTACACGAAAATGCCCCTTCTTACCGTTACATTAATGCCACATATCCAAGATGTTAAATAGACTGATTATAACTCAAGAACAGTTGGACGGAGTTTGACAATTCTCACAAGTTCGAAATGGCTTTTGCAATAAAAGGATATTTGATTTACAGTATTGAATTTTAAGTTTTGTATTTTTTTTTTTTGGGAGAATTACATTCAAGTCGCAATTATCGATGGGGATAGCGTTAGTGTCAGAATTCAAACATATTGTTTTTAATATATATATTTGGAGGATCAACTGGACCATACATTAAAACTTTCCTGATCTTGAAGAGGCTCTACAGGTCACAATTAAAAACCAATCGACACGGAATTTTGCATTAAGTTGGGGTTAGGACAGCTTAGAAGTGCAGCATTTTGGACGATCCGTAAATTATAGTTCGTAAATTATAGTTAGTGGGAAAAATGGACCCCAATTTTTATTAAAATTGTTTTGGATACCTATCAGCACGACATAAAGTGTAAATATAAGGAAAATAGCCCCGGTTAAAAACAAAAGGAAAGACTAGCGTTATTTCAAATAATCGAATAAAATGCACTTGGGCCTAAGGAGGTTTTCCAATATATTATGGTGTTGTCGGGTATCAAATGGTCGGCCCCGCACGTGTATAGCCTTTGCTTACTTGTTTTTAAATAAATTAAATTAAAGGACCTAAAATTTGCTCACCAAAAGAACAATTAATACCAAAAAATAATATAAAATAGAAAATAGAAAATTTAAAACACAAAATATTTCCCCCGAGGATTGTATGTTTGCAGAACTGCAAAACGTAGACAAGAACAACAGTACTTTAAATGATAATTTAATCAAATGTTTTGCTATTTGCCAATAATGATTTAAAATAAATAACTACATTTATAAAACATATGTCAAAATGTGTCTATGTGTGATTGCGTGTTCTCTAAATGTGGATGGATGAAATTAATTAAAATAAAAATGTTTCGAGGTAATATAAGGACAAAATAAAAAATATAAATTCTTACCATTTTATTTTTTTTGTTTGTTTTTGAATGATTGCAACCAATCAACCGACCAACATCAATACCAATAAAACAACAACAACAAATGTTCAATAATAGCATCAACCAAATACAATAACAACAATATCATCCAAACAAAATAACACAACCAATAATAATAACAGCAGCAATGATATTTGACAAGAGCCAAATTTGTACAAAAGTAGGCAAAATAACACAGGAAGTGGAAGTGAAAGAAAAAGAAGAATGAAAACAAATGTTATAATAAAAATGCAAATAACTGCAGGCAATCAATAACTAAAAAAAACTAGCAACAACAACGACAGCAGCAACAACTGTGGTTACCAATATCTAAAATATTTCTACTAAATGGGATGAATGGCTAAATGCCTGTAATGCGAATGAACGTAGAAGAGCGAATGAAACGATAGCAGCTCGACATTATGGCCAATGTCCTATATGGCATACAATTTTAGGATAACAATGCAGCAAATAGAGTTAGGTGTATGAATGGGTGTACAAAAATTGAGATGAAGGGAAAAATATGGTCGGTTGTTGTGTTGGCGGTGTTTTTGTGTGTGTGTTTGTGTATATGTGTGCATGAGTACTAGATGACTGAATTAAACTTTAACTAAGTTAGTGTGAGTGTAAATTCCAACTAGAAATAGAAATAACCAAAAACAAAAATATGTTAGCCTAAAACAATTTTTTTTGGCAAAATCAATCACAAATAGAATAATTTTGAAAATTTCCATTGAAATTGCCATGGTTGGCTGAACGTTAGAAATTTGTTTAAATTAGCCTTTGAATTTTGTCCACAACTTATCAAAGTGAAACAGTCACCATTAGAAATATAATTAATTTACATTTATTATATAAAAAAGTGGCCAACCCCATCCCTAGTGGAAATAAGTTCCTAACTATATACAAAAGTATTTAAAGGCCCCTGGTGGAAGACATTTGGAAGCACAAGGTATTCTAGAAAAATATCACATTTTTTCATTGCAATATGTTAAGTTTCGAAAAGTACTATCCTTATA